CCCACATATGTGTGCATGTATGTGTGAGAGTGTGTGCATATGTGTATGTGCATGTGTGAGTTCATGTGCGTGCATGTATGTGTGTGTGCACAAGTGTGTGAATGTGTGTATGAGTGTGTGTATATGAGTGTGTGTGTGTGTATGTGTGTATATACACCCATATATGTAAATATTTAAAACTGCGTTCTCAACATTACATTCATCTATGGGACTTCTGGAAAATTCTACTATTCCTCAAGGTACTACTGTGTCAACTAAATTAGTCTCTAGGGGCAGCCCGGAGCATGAGGCCTGCACCTGCCCGGTGGTCCGCCAGCTAAGGCTAAGGAAATTCATCCAGCAGGATCTCATTTAAATGCAGACTATGCATCTGGTGGTAGTGGGGGAGGGGCGGGGTTCTGTTTCTCCAGGCTCAGAGAGGTTGATGGTTTTGGTTAAGGACCTCACTGAGGGGCAGGGAGATGCTGAGATATGTCAGGAGGCTGGGCCAGGAATGGGTGATGCATTAGTGACCCTGTGGGTAGGAGACAGTGGCTAGACAAAGGGTTGTGATCACACCTTTTAAAGGCTAGACTATAGCCTCAGGACCCTCTCTGTCCAGCAGCTCCCTGCCTCCAGGACTAGGTCAAGTGGGCCTTAGTCCATTTTGTTGAAGGAAGGAATTGTGGCTGTGGACAAAGACAGGACAAGGCAATAAACAGTGACGAAGACCTGGAGTGGGGTGGGACAGGCAGTGCACATATGGGTGTGACCCATTTCCTGGAGTTTAGCATCCATGGTCATGCCCTCTGCCCAGGACATGGCTGTGTGGCTTAAGAGACAACAGCAGAGCTGTGTGTCTGCCTGAGCGATGCTTCCGTCAGTGAGATGAGGGTTGAGTGACGTAATAAGGAAGCCCAGGACAGGAACAAAATGGAAGTTGTTTTCTCTCTTGAGTGCCAGTCTCTGAGTGACAGGGCTAAGTAAGAGGCACCTCCCACCCACTCTGAACCTAGGCCTTCTCGACTTGTGTGTTTCCGTATTCCACTGGGGTGTCGGTCCTCTGTCGGCTACTGTCCGAGTGCCAGAAAAGGGGTCAGTGTAAGGAGCTTGCAGCCCGATCCGATGTCCTTGCCCGCAGCAAAGCACCTTCCATAGGTGAGAAGCACTGGGCCATATCTAGCGGCAACAGAGGCAGGAAATCCTGGTTTCTATTGGGTTGATCTGCCTAGCTACAACGTAATAACCACATGGTGGACAGCTTAGCCCACTGCACATAGCAAAACCAAAGTATGCCTCTAGGGCAGTGGTTCTCAACCTGTAGGTCCAGACTTCTGTGGTAGGGTCGAAGACCCTTTCACAAGGGGCTACCTATCAGATATCCTGCAAATCAGAATATTTATCTGTGTGTATTATGATTTAGTAAAGTAGCAACATTACAGTTATGAAATAGCAATGAAATAATTTTGTGGTTGGGGATCACCACCACCGTGAGGAACTGTACTGAAGGGTTGCAACATTAGGAAGGTTGGAAAGCACTGCCTTGGGGCCTGAGAAGATGGCTCACCCAGCTGGTTAGGTATCTGCAAGCACAAAGACTTAAGTCAGAATACTGGGATCCACATTAAAAGGCCTGGTGTTGTGCCTAGTACTGAGGAGGCAGACACAGGCAGATCCTTAGGGCTTGCTGGCCAGCTGGTCTCACACACTTGGCAATCTCCAGACCAGTGAAAGACCCTGTGTCAAAAGAAAAACAAAAAAGAGTAGCCAGGCAGTGGTGGCGCACGCCTTTAATCCCAGCACTTGGGAGGGAGGCAGAGGCAGGCGGATTTCTGAGTTCGAGGCTAGCCTTGTCTACAGAGTGAGTTCCAGGACAGCCAGGGCTACACAGAGAAACCCTGTCTCGAAAAACAAAAAACACAAAAAACAAACAAACAAAAAAAAACCAAAACAAACAAACAAAAAAAAAGAACCTCTCCCCAGAACCTCCCCCAAAACAAAATGGAGGAGCCTGGACAATGATAACCCTGACTATTTTCTGGCCTTCACACATATACACACAGAACACCCAGGAAGGCTTTCAGAGGCAACCCATCTCCTCACACCCCAACACAGCTACCGTGTGGCTACTTCACCGCATCTTCTCCACCGTGGCTGGCTGGCCCTCTTAAATTGTGAGTCCAGATAAATTCTTCCTTCCCTAAGCCGTTGCCCCTTTGTGCCAGGGTTTGAGAAAAGCTGACTAACCCATGGCATCTGTGGCTCTCACCCCCAGGGAGAATGCGCTAGAAAATGCTACTACATCTTCGTGGTGGAGACCATCTGTGTGGCCTGGTTCTCCTTGGAGTTTTGTCTGCGCTTCGTCCAGGCCCCGAACAAATGTCAGTTCTTCCGCGGGCCCCTGAATGTCATCGATATTCTAGCCATCTCCCCATACTACGTGTCGCTTGCAGTGTCTGACGAGTCCCCGGAGGCGGGCGAGAGGCCGAGCGGCAGTTCCTATCTGGAGAAAGTGGGGCTGGTGCTGCGCGTTCTGCGGGCACTACGCATCCTCTACGTGATGCGCCTGGCTCGCCACTCGCTGGGGCTGCAGACCTTGGGCCTCACTGTGCGCCGCTGTGCCCGCGAGTTTGGCCTCCTGTTGCTCTTCCTGGGTGTGGCGGTTACCCTCTTCTCTCCTTTGGTCTATGTGGCTGAGAATGAGTCCGGAAGGGTCCTGGAGTTCACTAGTATCCCCGCGTCCTATTGGTGGGCCATCATCTCCATGACCACGGTGGGCTATGGGGACATGGTCCCTCGCAGCGTGCCAGGACAGATGGTGGCTCTGAGCAGCATCCTTAGCGGGATCCTCATCATGGCTTTCCCGGCTACATCCATCTTCCACACCTTCTCTCACTCTTACCTGGAACTGAAGCGGGAGCAGGAGCAGGTCCAGGCTCGTCTCCGGCGGCTTCAGAACAACAATTCCGCCAGCGAACGGGAGCTCCTGACTGACGTAGATGATCTGGTTCCGGAGGGCCTGACCTCCCCAGGCCGCTACATGTAAACCCCACCACCTTAAGAATGTGCCATAGCTTCAACCCATCCCATGGCTGAGACGGGCTCCTGTATCTCTCGGCTCCCGATGGACCACCTGGGGGCTTAGAATACTGACTTACTCCCAAAGCAGGAAAGGTGCCAGGCCATGACGTCATTGGTGTGATCCTGGGCCCATCCCTTGTCCTTCCCCAGCTCCCTGTCAGTCACTGCCCATTTTGCCACACTGGATCAGAGTTCCTGTGTTCTTTTCCCTTCCTTGCAAACTCTGTACTATTCTACCCTGGGTTCTGGATGCTCACAGAACTGACTTCCACTAATAGCCAAATACGGAGTCTGCAGATTTCCCTTTTCTCCCTCAGACCCCCTGTCCTGGGCCACACTACTCCTGAGGATCAGAGTTCAGGCACCGAGACCTGCTCAAAGCTCCACGCAGCTTGCCAACTCTTATGTTCTTTTACTGCCTTCCACCGCCAACCGTATTTCAAAATGCCATGGAAGCACCTACTGTTCTAGAAGCTCTTAGCCAAGAAGGCAGCCCTGGACACTTCAGCAAATCCTGTCAGGTTCTCATGGCTGCAAGCCCGCTGTCACCTTCAACACACGTGGGGACCTACCTGGACAGGAAGGCCACCTTCAAGGACCCAGTCCCAGTTGGCCAGCTGGACTCTTGGTGGACATTCCTAGTTATCCAGCTCTTAGAGTCCCCTGACAAGGGGACTCTGAGAACTGTATAACGTCCCTTCAGGAGGACATGTCTCTCAGTCAGCTAAACATGGCTGATGGCTCAGCAGGACAGTCTTAGGCCTTCCTAGTTCTAGCTCCCCACTCACTTGTGACCCGCACTGATGGAGGACAGGCATCCCTGCTGTCTCTGTGTCCACATATGGGCTCATCTGTCCACAGACTCAGCCCTGGGATCCACGGAGGAAACAGATCACTATGACTTACAGAGACGAACCTGAAATGAAGTGACCTCTGAGCAGCCGGTGCCCCAATGTTTCCCAAGGCAATGAGGGCTAGTGCTGGAGGGACACTTGCGGGAGTCAGAGGCAGAGCAGTAGGGGCAGGCTAGGATCGGGAGCTGGCAGACCTCAAAGCATGGTGGCTGTACTAGGGGTGAGGGCAAGGTTGACAGTCCAAGGGGTCATGAGACCAAGCAGAAGTAGGAGTGCTAGCCATCCAGGAACGACCTGCGGGTTCAACCCCTCTACAACACTACCAGTCTGGCTCAGCACAGCTGGGTGAGACCTCTGTGCTGAGCCAGAGGAGTTACACAGTCCTGCTGTCATTCGATATTGGCTGTGAGGCCACTGGAGAAAGAAGAAGGGGTGATGGCGAGATGGACGGGACCCTGTGAATCTGACGTGGCTCATGTACGGGTACAATCAGTACTGCAGCCCTGCTAGCACATGCCTGGGTGTTGGTCTTTCCACTAGAACTAAGCTGATCCCTGCTGTGTGCCGTGCTCCCACTTTCCTGTAGCTACATGGACAAGGACTCTGCCCAAGGAAACCCCAGCATTTACCCAGAGTGCATCTTGCCCATGTGGGAATTCTCACATACTCTGACGCCCCAAACAGATGCACACACATACTCCTGTCCCTCTAGACCTCAAGGTGCAGAGAGCACCTTTCGTCTTTCCCGAGCTGATATGTCTCAAGCAGACCCTTTATGTCACAGGAACGCTGAGGCCCCGATGAGGCCCACAGCATGCTGCTTTGCTCCAGGAATTGGCTAGCAGAGTCCTGGGGGTACCTGGATGTATTCTGAGAACATTAAAAATAGCTATATTAACTGTATTGGCTGGTTTTGTGTGTCAACTTGACACAAGCTGGAGTTATCACAGAGAAAGGAGCCTCCCTTGAGGAAATGCCTCCATGAGATCCAGCTGTAAGGCATTTTCTCAATTAGTGATCAAGGGAGGAGGGCCCAGCCCATTGTGGGTGGTACCATCCCTGGGCTAGTAGTCCTGGGTTCTATAAGAAAGCAAGCTGAGCAAGCCAGGGGAAGCAAGCAAGTAAGCAGCACCCCTCCATGGCCTCTGCATCAGCTCCTGCTTCCTGACCTGCTTGAGTTCCAGTCCTGACTTCCTAAGGTGATGAACAGCCATGTGGAAGCATAAGCTGAATAAACTCTTTCCTCCCCAACTTGCTTCTTGGTCATGATGTTTGTGCAGGAATAGAAACCCTGACTAAGACATTAACCTTTTGCTCTAGGCTTGTTTGTTTGTTTGTTTGTTTGTTTGTTTTTAGACAGGGTTCCACCATGTAGTCCAGGCTATCTTTGAACATGTAATCCTCCTGCATCAGCCTCCTAGTACCCAAGTTAACATTTTTACAATTGTTATTAGGCAAAACACTAAACTGTCAGTTTTTCCTTTATGTTCTTATGGACAGACGGCATGGGTACCATCTGAGGGTTTCACTCTGTCTATGACTGTGGGTGGGTCCATTCGCTTCCCTGTAAACCACAGGTTTGGGCCAGATTTGAGGCTCTGGCTGAGGTTCCACAGAATTCTCTTGGGGGCTGCTGTTGTTGGGGGAAGACCAGCCAAACAGGCAGAGGTCCCATTGCCAATGAAGACCACACAGTCACACAATGTCTAGAAGAATACAGAAATGTCTAGACGCCGCCTCCCTTCCAAGCCAGGGCTGTCCACAGAGTGTGATCTGAGATGCTGAGCTTATCCTGGAACCACTGGAGAAGCCACTGGGGACCTGGCCCCTTGTCAGTTCAGCATCTGTCCCTCTCTTCTGACCTCATCTGCACTACTTGCTTAATGTGATGTCTTCTAGCTGTCATCCTGGTGCTCACCAGGCATCTCCACAGTCCTCTGTGTCACCAAAATGTACGAGGGCAAAAAGAAAAGTCAAAAGTCAGCGTTAGCTCAACCCATCAAAGACAGCAAATGTCCCCAGTGTCAGCATCTCGAGTTTTGACTGGGTGTGTGTATATATCCCAGTGTTGTCCAAGCTATCTCTGAACATGTAATCCTCCTGCCTCGGCCTCCTAGTTTCTAAGGTAATGTTTTTACAGCTTTTATCAGGCAAAATACTGAACAGTTTTTCCTTTATGTTAAACTCTCACTAAACAAGACTTAAAAAATTGGAAGTGATGACTTAATGTGACACTTGCAGGTTTTTCTCCTGGGTAAAATCTTGGGAGATGGGTGTAAGGTGTCCCCGTCTGGCCTTGTTTCCCTTTGATGTGATTGGATGGGCCAGAGCAATAAGTATGTTGCTAGACAGTGGTTGCATCCCCATTGGTTGACAGGAGCCTAGTGATCCCCAGCTGTGGTGGCTGTAGCCAATGGGGACCCTCTGCTTTGAGCAGCTTCCTGGCTGTGTCATAGACGGTGCTCCCAAAGGGAGTGGTGTTGGCGGAACCTTTTTTTTTTTTGCCCTAGTACATTTTGGTGACACAGAGGACTGTGGAGATGCCTGGTGAGTACCAGGGTGACAGCTAGAAGGTCTTTCTAGACAGGCAGAGTTGAGTCCGGCAGTGAGTGGGAAAAGAGTTAGTTCTTCAATATAAGGAAAGAGACTCAAAGAGGTCCAGACTTGGGTATGTGCAAAGACCACAGGGCTACTTCCAGGGTTTCTAGGATGGCACCATGGCCACCAGCGGTCCTATCAAGAGATGATCAGTGTGTGCCTGACAGACATGCACTTCAGAGGAGGGACACTCCAATGATTTCATTTATTTCTCAAGGGAAGACTCCCCCAAACAGGGTAAGGACTTCTAACATCAATCAATTTCCTCTTGGAAGATGGAGAGATCAAGGCTCAGAGAGGGAAAGGCACCCACCTCTAGCCACACAGCTGGTTTATCTCATTACATTCAAGTACCTTGACACCCCAGCCGAGCCCTTTCTAGGACATTCTGCTGCCACCCTGGACTCATGGGAAATGGGACCTGGCCCTTGGGGAGGAAAAGAAAGGAGCAGTTTACCACACTGTCCTAAGCCGGGTGGCAGAGACACCGTGGCGTGTGCTGGGCAGGAGACATGGGGATCGACTCACTGGATCTGCTCTTGCTCACAATATCTCACTGAAATCCTGTAGGCAGCCACCACAGTCCCTTCAACATGGACAACTAGGCTTCTGTGAACTCAGTGCAGCAAGTTCTAACTCAGAGGTGACCTGTGAGAGCCACACGGAGAGGGACACAGCATTCAATCTGTGGACCGTTCACGACCCACCAAACCTGGTGTCTCATTCCAGACTCACCTGCCCATAGAGGTCTTTTCCTGTCACCAGATTCTCATCACTCAGGGACCACACCCCACCCTTCCCATGATTCACTGCATGCCCTACTGTGGATGCTGTCCACATCTCCCACTCCTAATGGAGACCTGTGACAGTGAACGCTTTCTAGGTGGTCCCTGGCAACCTGTGGGTTTGTAACAGTTCATCCGGAAAACATTTCAGATGCCATGACCCCGGTGAATCTTTCCCCTTTAGAAGAAAGGGGAGAGGAGGGAGGAGGGAGGACAGAGGAGGGAAAAGAGAGGAGGGAAGATAAGTTTTTATCAATGAGGGGCAGTCCCTTTCTTTGGGAAGTAATCCCAGGGTATACTATGGAGAGTAGAAACCGAGAGAAGGTGGAGGAGGGGGGCCAGGGAGCGCTGGTCTGGTCCAATGATAGAAAGAAAACAGCAACTTAGCTTTTGTTTCCTGCCCGCATCAGGCCAGGTGAAACATTCCAGAATGGCTCGAGCATGCCCTCCTTCCCCTCCCCTTCTCCCTCTTGCTCCAGTCCCCGCTCACTCCGGCCTTTTTTTTTTTTTTTTTTTTTGGTTTTTCAAGACAGGGTTTCTCTGTGTAGCCCTGGCTGTCCTGGAACTCACTCTATAGACCAGGCTGGCCTCGAACTCAGAAATCTGCCTACTTCTACCTCCCAAGTGCTGGAATTAAAGGCATGCGCCACCACTGCCCGGCTCATTTTTTTTTTTTTAATTTAGATCTTATTAAGGATGGTTGTGAGCCACCATGTGGTTGCTGGGATTTGAGCTCATGAAAAGCAGTCAGTGCTTTAACCTCTGAGCCATCTCATCAGCTTGAGTATACCCTTCTTATAAATAAATTGAGTCCCCAAGACGCGACATTCTCAACTCTGGCCAGCTTTGCAGATTCTAAAGTAGACCTTACCTATCTCAGGAGCCACCTTTGCTTGGCAGGGGTGGACGGGAAGGGCACAGGAGAAGGTGTGAGGAAGAGGCACACCCCCAGGGCTGGTCCAGCCCGGCTCAGCCCAGGCTCTGGACTCACGATTCCAGTGCTCCCAGCCCTGGGTGGCCTGGTCTCTGCCCAATGCCTGTCTTTACACAGCCCTGACATCTAGCCATGAGGCACCTCCCGGAATACAATGTCAGTTAAAAATAAAACAAAAGGCACCAGTCTTTTCTGAAGCAGCCTGCGTCTGAGGACACAGAGAGAACTTTGGGCCACCACTTTGGGACTTGCTGTAAGGAGGACACAGCCAAGGGGGCACAGGCATCATGTGACATGACTTGGGACATTGTGAGCCCTGAACTAAAAATAGCCCGTCTCACTGCCTTCGTTGTATTTGCAGTGACCTGCCTGATGCAGACCCCTGGGAGGCTCGAGGTGCTATCTGCCCTTGCTGGTTGAGTTTTTAGGACCCTGCATACCTCTGATTTAAACATTAAAGGACATTAAAAAGAGGTAAATGACTCCTCCGGTATATCATGGCCTGCCCAGTCACTGGGCGTTGACCTTGGGGACATGGAAGGGTTCTCTGAGAGGAAAATGGTAGGAGCCAGGCCAACCATCTCAAGCCATCTGAAAGACATAAGTCAGAAGTTAGGTAGGAGTCAAGTGTGGTGGTAAACGCCTGGTGTTCCAGTACTCTAGAGGCAGAAGCAGGAAGACGGTCGGTCGGTTGTAAGTTCAAGACTAGACCGGGCTCTATAGGAAGTCTGACTCCAGCCTATTCTATGAGACTCTGAGGCCAGCCTGGGGAAAATGGAGAATCCCACCTGTTCCTCCATGTCCAAAAAGAAAATGTGGGAAGAAGCCCTGAGCAAGAATGGGAACAACTCCGGCCTTTGCACAGAGGCAGAGAGCCAGGATCTCTTCACAGTCGTCCAAGTCCCAGGAAAAACTACTGGGGGGAGGTGTGACCACAGGGCAAGCCGAGCCCATGCGGTGGTGTGATCCAGCCTGCTTGTCACTGGGTGACTGGTGCTGGAGACCTCATGTGTGTGGGGGGGCAGGGGGTATTTTCGGAACAACTGTGGACTGTGAAGACACAGAAAAGCCAAGGGCTCGCTGGACAAAGGGGTATTTCTCTCTTCTGCCGTTCTCCTGACCCAGCCAGCGGTGGTAACTGCACCGATCACTTCTGAGACCACATCAGAAATTTCAGTTAGGGTGAGCTGATTCCAACTTGAAGAAGCCCCATGCAGATGTCATTAAAGGAAGAAACAAAAGGAGAGGTGTCAGCTCTAAGAACTCAAAGTCTGGGTGGACTTCAGGAGCAGCTTCCTCCAGGAGTTCTGCAAACACCCTCAGTAAACAAGCTCGTCTGTGCTGCGTCTTCCTGGGTATCTCAGTTTCTGGGTTTCACCCTTAGGTTTTCCTCTTGGCCACAAGATGGCTGCACCAGCTCCAAATCTCACACATTCATCCCACCTTAAGCCTGCTATTGTGGCATCAATTGAATTGGTCCATGGGGTTTCAGGCTCACCCAGGATCAGAAGATAGGCTCAGTCACTCACCTGGCCATGGGGACAGTGAGGTTCCTGGGAAGATGAGAGAATCCATGGGCAA